CTCACTGGGGCCAGGTCGGTGGTGCTCCTTCCCCCACCCCCTGGCTACTGAAACCTTGGAGCTGGGGGTGGGGGTGAACCCTCAGCAGTCACTTACAGGGGTCAGCACTGCAGCCCCTCCCCTGCTACCAGACAAACCCACCACACAAACCTCAACAGGAGCCAGACAGAGGGGGAGGTCTCCATCCTGGCAGGCCCCCAAGGGGGCCTGCCTCTCATTCCCTCCTGGCTTTAGCCTTTCCTAGACTTGTGCCAGCAATGGGGCTTGTGGTGTGCTATAAATATAAATCCAGGTCTCAAGGGTAGGGCAGGCATCTTCTCCAGCTGACTTTTGAAGATTCTGGGCTCAGAACTGCCTGGTAGCTCAGCCAGCAGAAGTATGGGGATGTTGGTGAAGACTGCCCTTTTCTGTTTCTCCTTTCTTCCTGCTCCACCAGGTTATAGAGGCAACTATTTACTCTGTGGCTCATGTGCCAAGGGCTCACACACCTCTGCTCTGGCAGAGTCCCAACTCTGAATCCTCCAGTGTACCCGAAAACATCTCCCTGTCTGGAAGGGGGAAGTGGTCGCTGGTGGCTGGGGGGGTGATGCTGGTCTCTGCTCCCTGGCAGGATCCTGAAGAGCATGGTGGTGAGCTGGGTGAAGGAGATCACACAGTATCACAACGTCTATGCGGACAACCAGGTTATTCACTTTTACCGCTGGCTCCGCTCTCCTTCCTCCCTGCTCTACGACCCAGCACTGCACCGCACGCTCCACAACATGATGAAGAAGCTTTTCCTGCAGTAAGTGAGACATGGAGCATGCCAGGCCGGTGAACGGGGAAGGGACAGGCGTGGCGTTGGTGACCAGAATGCTGTTGGCACCCACAGTCCCTCCTCTCTGACAGCCTCCAGAGAGGCGGGCAGTAGGTTGGACCTCCTGTAGTGTTTGGGCGAGGTCCCTTGCATGGCCTCACCGAGGTGCTTGACTCCTGACTGTGCAGGATCAGCACATCCAGGGGTCGCATCTGCTCCTCACACTTTGCCTTCCTGCCCACTGACTCCTGCTCCTGTGCCCTGCTTGCAGGCTGGTGGCTGAGTTCAAGCGTCTGGGCTCTTCGGTGGTTTATGCCAACTTCAACCGCATCATTCTGTGCACCAAGAAGCGGCGCATCGAGGATGCCATTGGCTACATGGAGTACATCATCAACAGGTGAGGTGCGCTTGCCAAGCCGGGCCTGGAGATGAGGCTTCCTGATGATGGAGCCGAGGCAGAGCTCAGGGCCAGGAAGGAGGATGCTGATTTTTTGCCTTTTGGTGGGCCTCAGCACAGAAATTCTTTTTTTTTTGGCAAAGCTACTGAAGGGATGAGGCTGCCCAGTTCTCTTGGTGTTATGCCTGGAGTAGGGATCTGTCCCTATAGGTAATATTTCAAGAGTACTCATAGGATTCATTCCAGAAGAGACCTTCAGGAGAACTTGAGGTGTCCAGCACCTCCTTCTCTGGCTGGTGCTCAGCATCACAGCTGTGGTACAGGCACCCCAACACAAGCATAGGGAGCCAGGACTCCCTGGGCATGGCTTCCCCTGGGGTCCCCATCAGTGGTTGGATGGAAGAGGGGAACCCCCTCTCTCCTTGCCAGCACTACCTCCTCCCTGCAGTGTCCCATGGAGAAGGCTCTGAACTAGGGACAATTCCATCGCTGTGGGTGACTGCAGTCTCTTCCCTCCAGCATCCACTCCAAGGAGATCTTCCACTCTCTGACCATCTCCTTCTCCCGCTGCTGGGAGTTCCTCCTCTGGATGGATCCAGCAAATTATGGAGGTATCAAGGGAAAAGTGGATTCTCGCATCCACTATGGGGAGGTAAGAGATGGGAAACGCTCAGTCCCCCAAGAGCAGGATGCTGGGGGTTGAGCTGAGTGGGGAGGCATTGGGTGGGCACAAGGAACTGCTGCAATGTCACCGGCTCCTCCAGAAGGACACCAGCAAGATGCAAGTGCTGGAGGAGGACAGTGAGGAGGAGGAGGAGGAGGCGGCAGGGGATGAAGAGGAGGAAGGGGAGCCAAACATGGAGGAGCTGCTGGAGAACAACTGGAACATTGCACAGTTCCTGCCCCAGGCCGCCTCCTGCCAGAGCTACTTCCTGATGATCGTGTCAGGTGAGCTGTCCCAGGGAGGGGATGGGGTTGCTTGTGCCTCCCCCGTGGCAGGGAGAGCCTACAGGGGGGTGGGTGCTGGGGCGGGCTGGAGCTGGAGCCTTGCCCGTGTCTCCCCAGCCTACATTGTGGCCGTGTACCACAGCATGAAGGAGGAGCTGCGGCGCAATGCCCCTGGGAGTACCCCCGTCAAGAGGAGGAGCACCAGCCAGGTGTCCCAGGAGGCGCTGGGGGAGACGGGGGCCATGCCCGGTGAGTGCCGAGCCACAGGGCAGCCCTGGCACAGGCGGAGCGCCACCCGTCTTGCTGTCCCCGTATGCCACTGTACAGCTCAAGTGCTCTCTGCTCTGTCTCTCTAGGCATGATCACCTTCTCGCAGGATTACGTGGCCAATGAGCTCACCCAGAGCTTCTTCACCATCACCCAGAAGATCCAGAAGAAGATGGCTGGTTCTCGTAATGCCACTGAGCCTTCAGACGTGTTCCCAGTGCTGCCTGGCTCCTACTTGCCACTCAACAACCCAGCTTTGGAGTTCATCAAATACGTTTGCAAGGTCAGCAGGGTGGGCCAGGCCCCTTTTCTCAAGGTTTGCGGTCAGGGCTCAAATTCTGGTGCTTGTCTGTGGCTCAGAGTTGCCCTAGCTTTCCTCCAGGAGTGATCTACAACCAGTTTGTCTTGCCCTGCATCCGTTCGAGGATATGAGCTGTCCTGGTGTGGAGACTCTTCTCCCTGCTGGTAGGTTCACCTGGCTGTCATTCTTGTAGGTCCTCTCCCTGGATGCCAACATAACCAACCAGGTGAACAAACTGCGCCGGGACCTGCTGCGCCTCATTGAGGTGGGCGAGTTCTCAGAAGAAGCCCAGTTTCGGGACCCTTGCCGCTCCTACGTGCTCCCTGAAGTCATCTGCAGGAACTGCAACTTCTGCAGGGACCTGGACCTGTGCAAGGACCCTGCCCTCTCCCAGGTGCAGCTTCTTTCCTGGGGACACCAGAGGCTCCAGCATGGCGGTGCTGGAAGCCAGTCAATCACATTACCCATCTTTTTTTTTCCCTTTGCTTTGCAGCTCTGCTTGCTGCTGGTGATCAGCCTCACCTAAAGGCCATTTTCTGTTCACCCCCTTTTCTTGCTGCCAAGGTCTGAGCATCCCTTGGCTTTGGTTGATGCTCCATCCTCTCCAGAAACTGGTTACACCATCCCAGTGCTTGGGCCTCCTGGTGCTCACCCCCCTCCTCTTTGCCCCAGGACGGGTCGGCGCTGCCCAGCTGGGTCTGCTCCAACTGCCAGGCGCAGTACGACACTGATGCCATTGAAACAGCGCTGGTGGAAGCCCTGCAGAAGAAGCTGATGGCCTTTGTGCTGCAGGACCTGGTGAGTGTGGGGCTGCCCCACTCTGTCCGCCCCCCTGGCTGTCTGAGGCCAGACACATTCACTCTGCCCATGGCAGAGGGGCTTGGTCTTGTCTCCTGGTCTTCATAAAACTCCTTGGCCTCCAGGTATGCAAGAAGTGTCATGGTGTGAAGGACACGCACATGCCCGTGTACTGCAGCTGCGCTGGAGATTTCGCCCTGACCATCTCTTCCCAGGTACGCCTGTACCCTCCTGCCCAGCCCCCCACCATGCCAGCAGCTCCTCGAGGGACAGCAAGGAGCCCTGCAGTGCCCTGTTCCTCCTCTGCCTCTTCTCTACCTGCTTGTCCCCTGGGACCTGCTGTGCTGCCCTCTGCCCCACCAGCCTCACCCAGCCAGCCCCCTGCAGCCCCCCACTGCCCAGGAGTGCTGAGCAGCCCTCTTCCATCCTTGCTCCCTTCTCCCCAGACCTTCATGGAGCATGTCAACGTCTTCCAGAACATTGCCCAGCACTACGGCATGGCCTACCTGCTGGAAACCATCGAGTGGCTACTGCACACCAACCCCCAGCTCCGGCAGTGAGGTGGTGGGCTGCTCCTCCTGCCTGCACCGTGCCGCTCAGGGCACCCGGGCCACGCTCTCACGTCCACAGGAGAGTGGTCATAGACACCCTTGGCCGTTTGCCAGCCCCCAGAGAAGCTGTGCACCCCTCCTGCAGTCAGGGAGGGGAGGCAGGAGCCGTGCCAGGGACGGGGCTGTCCTGCTGAGTGGCTGGGGTCAGCAGGGGCTGGAGCTCTGCTCCCCAGGGATGTGCTGGCCCCCAGTGTGGTTTTAATGTTGTATTTCTATAAATAAATGGATTGTAAAAGGCAGGTGTAGTTTTTTGGGGAAGGGGGGAAGGAGGGGCTGTGGTCCACAGCTCCCACTCAGGGGGGATGCCTGCGGCTGCGGAAGTTCAAACTATGTCCTTGCTGGGCAGGAAGGACCAAGGACCTGTCCCTGTCTGATCTCTGTGTACTTGGGGGCAGGAAGGCTGCAGCCTGGCAGTGCCCCCCAGCTGTCCTGCTCCAGGGGAAGGGGTGGGGGGTGGCCATTCTCCTATTCCCAGCAGCCCCAGGTCCCTCCAGCTCTCCACCACTGCTGTGGGATGTGCATGTCCCCACCAGGGCACTGCAGGGCTCAAGGCTGGGGACACAGCCACCAGCTGTGACACCTGTGTCCCCTCCATTTCCCCTGCAGTGAGCAGCCCCAGGCAGAGGACCTGAGCATGGGGTTTAGTGACAGGCCCAGGGCTGGCAGAGGTGGCAGGTGGCTGTAGGACATGTCCCACCCATCCGTGGGTGCACATCCTCATGGGGCAGCAGGTCACCCAAGGATGGGGGGCACTCGGATGGTCTCAGAGAGAGCGTTATCCTGCCCTGCCACTGTGAACCTTTCCAGCTCTGCTGGTACTGGGGGACGGACAGGATGGGATGGATGGGCCGGCTCAAAGCTGGAGCACCCCAGGGCAATGGCCCCCACTGAGGAGCATCCTCACAGGAGACCAAGGGCCACTGCAGTGATGGTGGGACAGGGCTGGTGAAGGACACAGGGCAGTTGGGCCACAGTGGGGACAGAGCCATCACCTGTAGTTGTAGCCAGCAGAAGCCAAAGTCCTTTTGGGGCAGAGACGGTGGAAGGAGTAGCAGGGGTTGCACTTGCTGTTGGGCAGGTTCACATTGCAGTGACCACCCCACCCTGCAGCAGGGACTGCTGGCAGACCTTGCGCAGCACCAGCACACCGCAGGCACCACCAAGGGCATGGCATCCTTGTGGGTACAGCCCCTTGATGAGCATGGGCATGACATCCAAAAGAGCACAGCACCCCCAGGGACATGGCAATCCCATAGGCCCAGCACCCCCACAGGCACAGCATCCAATTGGGCACGGCACCACCATGGTCACAGCATCTCCACGGGCATGGCATCTGCACAGGCGCAGCACCTTCCATGGGCACAGCAGCCCAACGCACAAGGCATCCCTGAGGGTGTAGGATCTGCACAGGCACGGCGATCCCGTAGGCACAGCATCCCCACAGCCACAGCATCCAAATGGGCACAGCTTCCCTGCGGGCACAGCATCCCCAGGAGCACAGCACCTCCGCGGGTACGTCATCCCTGTGGACACAGCACCCACCACAGGCACGGTGTCCCCCCCCACCACACACTGCTCTCACCAAGCCACAAGCACAGCCCTATCCTCAACCCCGGCAGGATGGGGCTGGGGTGCCTCCAGGGCTGGGCCGCCTCCAGGGCTGGGCCACAGGCCCTTGCCAGGGATGCCGTTGGCACTGCCTGCTCGCCCAGGAGCGCTCTGCTCCAGGAATAGGCTTCCCAAATGAGCTGGCTGGGCACCAAGAAGCAGCTCCAGAGACACAGTGGAAGTTCCCAAAAGACTGGAAGATGCTGGGGCTGGGCAAGGGGTGCAGACACTGTAGTACACACTGGGGGACAAGACACCTGGGGAGGGTGGTGGAGGACAAACGCCAAGTGAGATGTGTATTGCTGGAGTATTTGAAGCAGTGGTAGCAGATGGCAAACCTGTGTAGAAAGAAAAATGGAGTGTCCAACTTGCAGGACACATTTCCGAGTCTCTCTGCATCTCTGCCAATCCACCAGGTAGGGTCAGTGTTTCCAAAGAGCTCATCTTCCCAAAAAAAGAGAAATAGGTTGGAAAGGACCTCTGAAGGTCCTATGCGCCAAACATCTTGTCTCAAAGCACGGCCTTTTAGCTTCCATATGAAACCGTGGGTGAATGTCCTCCCTGTACACACACAGAGGGCCATTCGTTACAATTACACCAGCTCTGGGCTCCCACACAGGGGCTACACAAACACAAACCCAAAGGACAGTCCCTGTCACCAGCAGCTCACTCATCGCACAAGGACAGGTACCCAGCTCTGTCTCCAGATCCAGTGTCTATGGACACATGGCTCCTCTCCTCGCTCAGCCCAGCTGTCGTGGTTTAAGCCCAGCTGGCAATAAACACCACGCAGCTGCTCACTCACCCCCCGGCTGGGATGGGGGAGAAAACTGGAAGAGTAAAAGTAAGAAAACGCATGGGCTGAGATACAGACAGTTTACTGGCTAAAGGAAAAGCCGCGTCCACAAGCAAAGCAAAACAAGGAATTCATTCCCTACTTCCCACTGGCAGGCAGGTGTCCCAGCCTTGTCCCCTCCCAACTTTTTGTGCACCCTCAGCCCACTCGCTGATGGTGTGATGCCAGAAGCAGAAAAGGCCTTGACACCATGTAAGCACTGCTCAGCAATAACTAAAACATCTCTGTGTTACCAACACTGCTTTCTGCACAAATCCAAAACAGAGACCCACACTAGCTACTACGAAGAAAAGGAACTCTGTCCCAGTCCAAACCAGCATCAGGTCCAGCAGCAGCACAGCCTCCCCAGGAAAACCGTGGGCATCAGCCGAGAAAATCACGCCAACAGATTTGTCCCGAAACAGCAATCAACGCTCTCTCTGAGAGTCAACTCCACAAAATCTGCAGTCCCCTCCAGTCAGATGCTGGCAGGAGCACGCTGGGAAAATGCAAATGCTGAAGCCCATGGAGGTTCTGCTTTCAGCTCTAGAAACGATTCCTGTGCAGCTGTTCCAGGGTGGGAAACAAAGCACATTCAACATCCACGGAAGTGTAACATGAAGGCAGAGCACAAACCTGGAGAGAAACGGGGGGCAGGGGGGAGCATCTTAAATGTAGCTTTCTGTGCCATGT